CATGCAATAAGCCTGCAAGGAATACCTCTTTCTTTCTGTTGGATCTGCCTATTTTTGCTTTATATAGTTAGAAAAAAGTCATTTTTGTGTAAATGGGGTATAATAATTGTATACACCTAACAACTGGAGAAATACAGGCTAAAGTTATTCCATTTCAAAAGAGATAATAAATCCCCCCAAAAGAGCCAAGAACAGAAGCTGTTCACAATATACAGGATTCTGCAAGGAAGTTTCAACTATTATATCATTTACATACCAATAACGTGATGGATGGTGGATTTGTACCATGTAGAGAGGTGAGAATTCAGAATGCTGTGGAAAGGAAAGAAACATTTGGAGACCATTTATGGGATTCTTCTGAAAATTCAATTTCTTTGCATATGAAAAACTTGACTGTTCTTTTAATGTGATCTGAATGACCTTTTTGGATTTTGAGGAAGTATTCATTGCCTCAATGGGAGAGCTGAGGCCTTTAGCATAATTAACCAAAGCCATATTGGCTATGTATTTAACTTATCTTCATCTCATTTAAAAAGAGAGCTTTCCTTGTTATAAATGGTTAAACTGATTTTTTTAAAATCAGTTCCTGAGAAAGGTTTCAGAGTAACAGTCGTGTTAGTCTGTATCCGCAAAAAGAAAAGGAGTACTTGTGGCACCTTAGAGACTAACCAATTTATTTGAGCATAAGCTTTCGTGAGCTACAGCTCACTTCGTCGGATGCATAATGTCTTCTGCAGTTTCCACAGTATGCATCCGATGAAGTGAGCTGTAGCTCACGAAAGCTTATGCTCAAATAAATTGGTTAGTCTCTAAGGTGCCACAAGTACTCCTTTTCTTTTTCCTGAGAAGGTGCCGTATTAATATTTCCATTATTTCCCTAGGCAAAAGCAACAAAGTTACCTCATTTTACATGTCCGGACACTTTATCTTGCCTTTATTAAACATACTGGGACAAATTCTACCTTTAGGTAGACCCATGCAAGTCCATGTATTTAAATGGGGTTGCTCAAGTGGAACCCAGGGTAGAACATACCTAATTATTTGCATGGTATAATAAAAGGGTTCGGGTAGTCAGACTACACGAGTAAAAGTCATACAGTATTAAAAGTTGGTTGGGTTCATTTTAATGGATGGTATGCAAAATGGGGGAACAAAGCAATGTAGCACTCTTCAGGCATCCGTTTTCATTTAAGCCAGAGTGATAAATGACCATCAAAAGTTTTGGAGAAGGGCTAATTCACACTATGCTGCCAAACTTGCAATTGATCTTAAGGGCCCAGGCCCACCAGGGAAATGCTAATGTGACGCTGACGACTCAAGCTCTAGTGCTGCATGGCATGGAGCAGAATGCTTTGTGCTGCATGCAAGCTCTCTGGAGAGAACACCTTGAACCTCTTCTTTTGGACCTCCTTATCTTTAGGGACATTCCAGCCTGTGTCTGGATCTATCTGCCTGGTGTGTTCAAATCTCACACACTTTGAGTCACGCCTGGGCCAGAGGTGCCTCTGAAGCACTGTCTTGGAGATTTTTGAACACAGCATTTCGCCCAGGCCCTAACCAAGTATCATTCACCTGCTGCCATTCTGCTAGGGAAATCACAGCCAGCTTGCATGAAGAATTCTGTTAGCAGTTCAGAGGATAAAGACAGGGGTCAGTGGCAGAAAAGGAAAAATAAGGAACAATATAAGTCAATGAGTCCAGACTGAAAGAATCAGACAAGAGGAGAGAGAGAAAACGGGGAATAAATGGGAAGCTGATGATGCTGACGTACATATTTAAACCAGGCCCTGCTCAGATTCAATTTGCTTGTAGGGCTGAAGTTTGAGCCAGCTTCTTTTTAAATCCTAGCTAATTCACCAAGCTCCTTTTTAAGCAGTCATTAACGATACATGGACATAACATCAGTGAGTGATGTTGTCTCACTTTCCTGTAAGAGGAAAGGAGTACTTGTGGCACCTTAGAGACTAACCAATTTATTTGAGCATGAGCTTTCGTGAGCCACAGCTCACTTCATCAGATGTGTACCGTGGAAACTGCAGCAGACTTTATATACACACAGAGAATATGAAACAATACCTCCTCCCACCCCACTGTCCTGCTGGTAATAGCTTATCTAAAGTGATCAGCAGGTGGGCCATTTCCAGCACAAATCCAGGTTTTCTCACCCTCCACCCCCCCCACACAAATTCACTCTCCTGCTGGTGCTAGCCCATCCAAAGTGACAACTCTTTACATAATCAAGTCGGGCTATTTCCTGCATAGATCCAGGTTCTCTCACTTCCCCCCCCACCCCCATACACACACAAACTCACTCTCCTGCTGGTCTAAACTGACCACTCTCCAAGTTTAAATCCAAGTTAAACCAGAATATCTGGAGGGGGGGGGTAGGAAAAAACAAGAGGAAACAGGCTACCTTGCATAATGACTTAGCCACTCCCAGTCTCTATTTAAGCCTAAATTAATAGTATCCAATTTGCAAATGAATTCCAATTCAGCAGTTTCTCGCTGGAGTCTGGATTTGAAGTTTTTTTGTTTTAAGATAGCGACCTTCATGTCTGTGATAGCGTGACCAGAGAGATTGAAGTGTTCTCCGACTGGTTTATGAATGTTATAATTCTTGACATCTGATTTGTGTCCATTTATTCTTTTACGTAGAGACTGTCCAGTTTGACCAATGTACATGGCAGAGGGGCATTGCTGGCACATGATGGCATATATCACATTGGTGGATGTGCAGGTGAACGAGCCTCTGATAGTGTGGCTGATGTTATTAGGCCCTGTGATGGTGTCCCCTGAATAGATATGTGGGCACAATTGGCAACGGGCTTTGTTGCAAGGATAAGTTCCTGGGTTAGTGGTTCTGTTGTGTGGTATGTGGTTGTTGGTGAGTATTTGCTTCAGGTTGCGGGGCTGTCTGTAGGCAAGGACTGGCCTGTCTCCCAAGACTTGTGAGAGTGTTGGGTCATCCTTTAGGATAGGTTGTAGATCCTTAATAATGCGTTGGAGGGGTTTTAGTTGGGGGCTGAAGGTGACCGCTAGTGGCGTTCTGTTATTTTCTTTGTTAGGCCTGTCCTGTAGTAGGTAACTTCTGGGAACTCTTCTGGCTCTATCAATCTGTTTCTTTACTTCTGCAGGTGGGTATTGTAGTTGTAAGAAAGCTTGACAGAGATCTTGTAGGTGTTTGAACTTCCCTAACCTGTAAATGTTCTTTGTGCCTCAATTAGGAATGCCCTCCATTTATGGCTTCAACATACAATGAGTTTTTGCAGTACAACAGTTGCTACTTAAAAAGCAGCATGTTGGCCAACAGTTACTGCACAGTGGTGTCTTGAGTCATATAAGCATTTGCCCCTATACTTAGAATGGGAAATAAATATAGTTCTGATTGGCAAAGATTGAATTTTTCAGTGGCCACCATTGTACTTGAGAACACATCACATCTCAGCATTAGCATTACTCTCCTCCATATATTGTTTATTATATAAATCGTTTTGTATTCAATCTAGATGAAAGGCAAGAGTCAAATGGTGCTAGGTCATGGGTGCCCTGTGAGCTAGTTCCTCTGGTAGATGTAGCTTGTGCTTTAGAATCTAGGCTCTCATTTTTAAAGAATTAGGAAGTCTCTAGACCTTAGCACTGCAAAGACAGCCTTCAGCATGTGAACCAATTCTGTGATCTCTGGCAGAGACACAAACTCCCAACCGCTTGAAGAGAGATTTGAATTGGCTCAATGAATGCCCAGGGATGTTAGCACCAAAGCCTAATGACAATTTAAATATCAGCACTGGTAGCTATTTGACTGATCCAAACAAGAAAGCAGAGGCATCCCATATTATGAAAACTGCTCACTCTAAACTGCTCCTGTATCTTTTACTTCATACATCTGATGAAGTGGGTTCTAGCCCACGAAAGCTTATGCCCAAATAAATTTGTAAGTCTCTAAGGTGACACAAGGACTCCTTGTTTGTTTGTTTTTTTTTGCTGATACAGACTAACAGGGCTGCTACTCTGAAACCTGTAAACTAGGAGTGGCATCTGACTTTTAACTTCATGCATGGGCAGCACTTGGGTGGTGGGAAGAACTTGGTACTTATGTTTTCCCAATCTGATCCCTGGTACAAGGGTGCTACACAGACCCAACATCATTAACAAACCCAGGGAGAGACAAACACTCGCCTTCTTTGTCTGAAACTTGACTGGCCCCGCCTTTGCATCTCCCCCCTTATCCTGGCCAAACCCCACCGCTCAGCAAAGCGCTCAGGGCTTTCATGGGACAAAGAGGAGAGAGCTTGAGGAGGCTCGGAGGTACAGAAACGTTCCCAAGAGCAAGAGCCAAAGCCACCCCTAGGGACCAAGAGAGACACGGGCCCGCTCCTGGCCTGAGTGTGACCGTGGGGGAGAGGGGGACAAACACAGCCCTCTTCAGACACCAAAGCGTTGGGGAGCCCTGAATCCTGGGGCCTTTGCCCAGATGCCAGCTCAGCAGCAGCAGCCCGCCTCCTTAGGGAGATGACTCTGCTTTGCAGCCATGCCCTGGGCCGCCCGCGACAAGACCCAATGCACCGCACCCCGAGCTCCCCACAGGATTTCTCCTTTGCAAAAATGTGACCCCCCCTCCCCCGCTAAGCGTACCGCTGCGCAGCGCCAGCCCTCTGTGCTGCCCATGCACCGGCTCGCATTGTCCTCCTGCACCACAGAGCAGCAGCGCCCCAACGACAACACAAGCCGGGGGGGGAAGGGGGGAGAGGCTGCCACAGCCCCCTGGTTCCCACAGCAGCAGCGGGGAGCGCCCTGCCTGGCGGGCCCCACGGCCCAGCCGCGCACGCTCCCCGCCTTTGTTCCCAGCCCCTACAGATGGTGCCCGGCTTGGGTCTCCGAGGGAGGGGTGGGTGGGGGGGGGTGGAAAGGGGGGGCAGCCAATCAGGAGCCGGCCCATCAGCTGACCTGCTTTGCTTACACCAGGTGCACGCTGGCTGCAGGCAGCACAAAGCCCAGCGGAGGAGGAGGAGGAGGGAAGGCGGCAGAGGAGAGGAGGAGGAGGAAGACGACGACGACCGAGGGACTGGCTGGCTGAGCAGCGGGGTGTGGAGCGGACACCGCAGCCAGCAGCGCTTAGGGCTTGGCCGAGACTTTGAGTTTTTTTCTTCTACAAATTGTATCGCGCTTTTCCCCACCCCCCGGTGGGGGGGAGGGGGCTGGACCCTGACCCAAAAACAATCCCAGCCACGTCCCCCCGACCCCTTTCCGTGAACGGGGGGGCATCTTCTGCCCAGGGGCAGCAGCTGGTGGATGGGCAGCCAGCCTGCTCCCGTCCTTCCGCGTCCCAGCGTGCGGCCAGGGGCAGGAGTCGGGGCTTAGCATCCGCCGCCTCGCACCCGCTGGGTAAGTGTTTCCTCCTTGGCTGGGGAGGGCAGACGCACTTGGAGCTGCAGGGGGGAGGGAGGGAAGGAGGGGAGGGCAGGCATCCAGCAGTGGGGGCTGCCAGTGCTGAACTGCGGGGGTTAAGGGGCCACCCCGGGGACAATCGCAGGACCCGCCTTTGTCTCTTAAAGGTCGAGCAAAATCGCCCTGAAAACCTTGAGGCTACTTTAAAGCAGCCTCCCGGCGGAGGGGAGCCTCAGCCCAGGCTGACGCAGCCGGCTAAGGGTTAAGATTCATAATGGGACTATAATAAACGTCCCCCCCCCCGCCCTTACACACACACACAGGTTATGATCTCCACACGTGCTAATAGGTGTGGTGGTTCCAAGCGATCTCCACTTCGCTCCATCCTGCTAGGGGACCAGCAGGGAGTTTCTGCTGCTACCAACTCTGTGCCAGGCAGACAAAGTGAGGAAAGTTTGCCAGGCAGTGTCCTTTGTGTTGGGAGGGATGTGGGGTAGGGGGCGAGGGAGGATGGTGACAGCAGGAGCAAGGGGTTCCCTGTCCTCCAAGGAAATTCCAGTCAGCCGGCTTTTCTAGTTAGGGATTCAGCCTCGAGGTTCCTGTCCTTTATAGAAGCTAGAGCCCTCCAGTGAAAAGCTGGCTGCTGCCAAGTCTGCCCTGTACATGGCCAAGGTATAGTTTCTCACCACCAAGAAAGTTATAAAGGGTAGTAAGATTACTGCATGAATAGTGATTTCATAGAGCATTAGGATAATCCAGGGTTGGGGGGGGGGTCTGTTTGTAAATTTCAAACCCACAAGGGTAAACAAGAAAATGGATAAGATGGTTTTTAAGGAATGTTGCCTGCCATTCAGATAGGCTTTTGGTGTCCCCCCAAATCATTTTTAAGGCACTTTGCTTTCCTCTAGGCTACTTCAGTTTTGCTTTTGTTTTATTTAATCACTTTTCCTAGTTTCCTCCTCCTATGTCATGTACTTGTCTAGTGCATTTATCTCACTGGTAAACTACTGAAATAAAACTGACAGCAAGTCATGTATGGAAAAAGTAGAGGAATGAAGTTTGATCACTTTATGTATAGAGTGAAACTGGTGCTGATTGTCTAGCAGGGGCATGTGTGTGTGTCTCCAAATCTCTGATTTGCATGCAAATGTGAGTGTATCCTGGCAGATGTCTTGCCTCTTCCATTCACATGAAGGAATTTGAAAAGACAAGGAGTCTTCAGTTTAACAATAGACCTTCAGAAAATGGAATAAAGGCTCAGTGTAAGTTTTTCTGTTTGGGAATTGTATGAATGGCTGTCACTTTTATCTGAAAGCCAAATTCTTTGATTGTTGTTTGCAATGAAATATTGTAGTTATGACTGCTCCATACCTGTATTCACTTGTTTTGGTAATATTTAAAAGTGTGTGTGGATGAGATGGATGGTAGAGGTAGGGAGGAGAGTATGATTTGCAATTTCAGCAGTAGCTGTTTACTCCTACATATAGATTTTTTTCTGTACCATTATATTTTTAAAAATGCTTCAAGTGACACAATTTTGCCCATTTGTACAACTTTCTAATATTACACATCACAAACTCAGCAGAAGAAAATGCACTAAATCTCACTGGGCTCAAATAATTTAGGGCCAGATCCTGAACTGGTGTAAATTGAATCCAATAGTGTATGCAGATTTGCACCAGCTGAGAATCTGCCCTAATTTTTTTTTATATGCAAGGCTAAGATTTAAAATATAAAAGTATCACAATCATTCCCATTCCACATCATTGTGGCTTAATGTAACAATGCAGGATGCTGAAAATCAATAACCTGATTCAAATGGCCACAACCAAGGACTTGTCTTCTCCAGTGTTAGCTTGATAGACAGCACCCTGTGCACTGTTCACCTCCCAACATTGTGAAGCCCAGTCGGACAAAGGGCTTGCAGCATGAGCTGCACGTGAGTCTGGGTGAATATACCTACTAACATGCCAAGAACCAGTTGCCTCTCCTTTTGTTGGAGTCTCAGGCTGCTCTCAAGAGTAAAAGGGCCCATTCACTGAAAGGGGTTAACCCCTGCCTTCTAAAACCTCATGGAAGGAGGCATCTAGAGAGAGAGAGCGCCATGCATTGTATTAGAGTGTTGGATGTTATGAGGAGGAATACAACACATGTTAGTCTGCTATTTTAGATGTTTCCTTAAGTTATTTAGTGCTGGTTCAATGCATTTTTTCCCACTAGGCAATAGGGAAAAATGTAAAATCAAACTTAAATAAAAAAATGTTATAGTTGAAAGACGATAGACAGATCACCCAACCAAGCAGTTATCATTTTCGCCTTAAAGCTGCACAGTATTTGCCAAGTCACAAATCCTAGTATTAAAGCTCTTCTGTGAATGTTTGTCCTTTTTCCTTATGAACATTTCTAAATGAGACTATAAACCTTTTATTGTAAAGTAAGTAATTTAGGTGCACATGAAATAATCCTGGAGACATTTAAAATGACCAAAGCCTTACATCAGATGAGATCTCATTGTTATCTTAAGTGTTTTATTTAAATAAAATATTTTTCTTCAAGTCCTATAAATTGGAATTAAAAAAATTTAAGAAAGATAAATTTGGACAGAGAAAAACAAATGAATTCATGGGGGGGAAGCATTCCAGATAATGAAATAGGATTTGTTATACCTGATGAGACTATTGGCCTATGTAATCTGGTATATTGCTTTTGATAGTGGTAAATATCTGATGCTCCAGAAGAAGTTGACGCCCCTTTCCTTCCATAATGCTGCATGCATATATAGTACCATACCCTGAAAGGAAGAGATTCCTTCCTCATCCCCTACTGTGGGTGTTCAGTTTACATTCTGAAGCTTGAGATTTTTTTTCCAAGAGCTGAAAATATCATGGAATTGCCATTTAACAAAAGTATTTGCTTTCACAGTTCAAAATTTATCTGAATAGACCTTTATACCATCCTTATAAAATGTACATATCCTAATAACTTTATTGAACTTCAAAAGGATAAGTTAGTGATGAAACTAAAAGACTGCTTGTACCAATCACTGAGATTATATTGTTTAGAAAGGGAAATAGCTATGTTGCACATTCCATGGCATATACAGTGATCTACTTTAATCAATCTAAAAAATTAGGAAACATGAATTGTGGAAGACTTTCTGCAATAAGGTAGCAAGTTCACATGGAAAGCAGACAGATTTCTGGTTTTTTTGTTTGTTTGTTTTTTAATTCAGATGATTGCTTTTGAGATATTTAGCAAGATCTTTGGTAGCAAGATCTGTTTTTAAAAAAAGTGTTTAGTCTGGGCATCTTATTCCAGCTCATGGATACAGTACAAGCATTTAACTCAAGAACAGAGCTTTGATTAATATTTAATTATCAGAGGTTATACATGCAAGCAATTGCTAGCAGAATTATTTCAAGGGCACATGTTCTGTTTTCCTGCACTCAAAGCAGCATTCACTAAAGTAATGGACTAACCTCGTTGTTTTCATTTGATGCAATATCAGGGCACTTTGGAGACCAAGGAAAACTTCTCCTTAATTATATTTCTTGTGTTATGCTTTCTCAGTACATCATTATAGCAGCATACTGCACCTGTCAATGAAGGCAACATTTGGAAGCGCTTGACTTTTAGGGGAAACTAGTAAAACACCTTGCATGAATCATAACTCAGGTACAACATTTAAAACTACAGCTTGCATAATTTATTAAAATATTTTTATTGCTATGACTTTGCTGTTAATTTTTGTGACTATCAAGGATGATGCCACCTCCAAACTTATTTAAACAGATTTTAATTCTATTTTAAAATGTCCACTGTTGCACATGGCGACCTTTGTAACAAAGGTCATGGTAAGATTGTTTCTGATGTACCAAAGGTTACTTCTGGGCCTCTAGTTTATTTGCATGATATTAACAAGTAAAACAAGCTCCGCCCCCCTAAGATTTTATTCATCAATATCATTACAGATGTCAACCACAATATTTCAGCATTCCATGGGGTACTTACTCAGGCAAAACTCGCCGTTATGGACCTAATACAAAGCTCATTAAAGTCAATGGAAAAATACTTCCTTTGACCTCAGTGGGATTTGGATTGGGTGCCAACTAGGTAAGGACTACAGGATTGGACTAGGGCATCAGGAAGAGATTAAACCAAAGGGGGGCAGGGTTGAAATCAAGTGATATTTACAAGAAAACATTGCATTTTACAGTATTATTCAAACAAATACAGTATCAAGCAAATTGCAAAAAAATTGGAAATATTTACTGAACAATCATCCTTCAAGAATTAAAAACTATTCTTACTCTGACTTTTATTATGATGTGTATATTATAACTAAAGAGCTGTCTGTTCTTTGAAGCCCTGATTAATATAAGTGAGTTATAATTTTCTGACCCAAGCTATCCCAGTTCACATATATTATTCTATTGGCAGACATGTGGTCTCCACAGCTGTCCCCTCATTTGTGTATGAAATAGAAACACTGGTGGCACTTGTAGGTTACCATAGTTACATGAACAATACATGTGTGATACTTCATTCTTCCAAGCTAAAGGTTGGCTTTTTTGTTTTGTTTTCTGGCAGACATTTTGTAGGCATAGAACTGAAGAAAATCTATGTAAAGTTTCTGGAAGCATGTAATTCATTTTCCCTTTTTATCTGTTTCCATAATATTAATTCACAGCAGTCTTGTATTTCAAATGCTAATCGTGCATCTTCACCTAATTAAAAGCCTCATTCTGCAAGGTGCTGAGTGAGTGTCACAAAGAAGGTGCCAAGCAATTAGCAGAATGAGGCCATTAAATACCATGGCATCTGTAAAGAATATTGAGCTTGTTTCTATACCATAATATATCTTGCAGACCTTGTCTGTCACACTTTGGGTTTTTAATGTTTTGTTCATATTTCTCTGCATAGATGTACACTCTGTGTTAACAAAATATTAGTGTTTGCTTTGATTTGTAAAGAAAAGAGGCAGAAAAACACTTATTGAAGGAAATTCCACCATTAGATCTTTTGTACTTGACACAGAATAAATCTCCTAAATAAATATGCCTTTAGGAAAAAGTAAACACAGGAGTTGTAGCTAAGAAAAGTGTTCCTACAAGTGGCTTAGGCCTGGCCTACACTAAAAAGTTAGGGTGACCTAGTTACATTGCTTAAGGCTGTGAAAAATCCACACCTATGAATGAAATAGTTAAGCTGACTTCCGTATAGACAGTGCGAGGTCAACAGAAGTTGCATCAAACAAGCTACTGCCTCTCATAGAAGTGGATTGCCTGTGCCAAGGGGAGAACCTGCTGTAGCATTTCAAATGTAAACAAGCCTATAGTCTCAACACCTAGAAAATTACAACAAAATAGGGGGAAAACGCATGGCAGTAAAAAAACAAAACCCCTAATCTACATTAAACCAATATTGTCATATCACAATACTAATAAGTGTTGTGCTTCCCAAAAGATTGGTCTCCTATTCTGAAAAGCTAATAAGAGAATTAAGAGACTAATTTTTAATGCAAAATAGACCAATGAACATCTGATTTTGAAAGACACTAACTTTGTCTTGTATTCTTTGTGGTTATAACTGACTGAGCTGTTATCTTTTAATATATTGAAAGCAGGCAGTCAATAATGGAGCATACCTTTTCTTAAGCTATACCTAAACAAAAAAAAAATTAAACTACATTTTCTTATTCATTGCTTTTTAAAAACAATCACTTTACTACAAATATGTTTACATTGGCCTTTTGTGAAGTTCGATGGCTTCTCTCAATACACTGGGTGAGATTTTCAGAACCGGTCACTGTTGACCTAACTTTGCTCCTATTGGAGTCAATAGGCGTTCATTGACGTTAGTAGGAGCAGAGTTATGTCAAATGCTCTTGAAAATCCTACTATAAAATGCTCAATATACCTTGGGAAACTTTAACTTGTAATTTGCAAGTTCTCAGTGGAAAATTTCATTTGTCCAAATTCGGTGGTGCAGTTTTCTTTTGATGATGCACACCAGACCTTTGGTCTAGATCTTGCTATTGACTTAAGTGGCAAGAGAACAGAGACCAAACTTTATTTAGAGCACACAGTTTTAAGACAGGCAAAATATACTTGATCTAGAAGGTAGATATAAAGTTTAAAATTACTTTGCCTTTCCTTTAAATACTGGTCTTAAATGTTTAGCAGGACATTGTTTTGAGATGTAATGGCTTCAAACTGTATAGGAGTTATGAAAGTGCCATAGAGATATTCTTGCCTTTATTTTGTACAATAACCTTGATACATAACTCACTTTTCTAAAATGCCAGCCATCATTCTTTTTATGATAGCATAGTTTGATACTTTCTCTGCTGCCTCACAAAGTTTAATACCAAAGGGAAAAAAGACTCACGGGTTTTATTTAGGAATTGTTAGCATCTCATTTCCAGATATTTAATTTAATAAACTCCTGTGAATACATCAATTTATATGGCTGTCACCTTTGATTAGAGACCTGGAGAGAAATTGCTGTTTCTACAGGGAAGCAGGAGATCCCAAGTCAGTTGCTGTACTGGAACTGAAAGTGCATGAAAGTGACAAAATAGGGGCTTTTCTAAGCATAATTTGTTGATTATATGTAAAAAAAAAAAAAAATCAGAATAACCTAAAACTTTCACTTCCAAAAGTGCTGGTCCAAATTGTGTTCATTACATGGCTGCAACTTCCAAAAGGCTTCAACTGGAAGTTGTGCTTGTGTAGTTTAACAGAATAGGGTTTCTTGTGATTAGTAATCTCTTCCACATTACTTGTTTCGTGGATTGTTACATGACTGTTTAAGAAGTGCCATAAGCTAATATTTATCTGTGTATTATAGCAGGAAGTTTAGAACTAAGTATATAGTTTTCAGAGATCGAAATATGACTGACTCCGAAGCTGGACTCTCCCTACCTTTATGCTGCATATTCAAGAATATGAGCTAAGTCGGCCAAATTCATCCCTGAGGAAGCTCTATTCAATTCAAAGAGTAAAGATGCTGGAGTTTCACCAGGGCTGAATTTGGCTCAAGTGACTTTTTAAATAGCTGTGTCTCATGCATATTTCCACATGTCTGGTTCTCTTGATGTTCAGTATTTCCATGGTATTTTATAGGGTTAACCAAGAGTATTGTTGTAGCGGTTGGACATCTTGATAGACCAATGCAGAGCAGTTTTATGCACGTATCACCAATTCTGTCCCAGATACACAGTTTCTGGGTTTCCTAGAAACTGTGTATGTTCCCTTTCCCCACACTGCTCATGTTCATGGGTTTTTGCTATGACAAATGCAAAGCACAGATGTCAACTTTCATGTGGTAAATAAGCACCCTGACTTTCACTGTAAACCAGAAATCAAGCTAATCCCATTTCAAGCCAATCCCTAAGAACCCCAGCACTCTGACTAGGTCCCTGCCACAGTGTGCAGTCTGGGACTGTGATGGGCCTGCTGTGCACCCCTGACTCTCTCCGCTCCCCCTTGCCCCTGCTTTCCAGGAGCCAATCAAAAAAAAGAAGCTGCTACTAGCCAACAAGCAACTCTCAAGCCAATTAAGCCAAAAACAAGCCCAATTTCTGCCTTTTTTTTTTCCTGTGGGTTTGGCATGTCTGATGCAAAGTTGACGCAGATACATTTGGTCCCTGCAAGAGTCTGATGGTGAAAGAGCTTCCCCCCACCCATCCCCCTAATAATCAAATTGGGAAACTGCTCACACCGCCACCATAGGCACTCTAAGATATGGCCTATGTTATCCCACCAGAAGATGTCGATGTTAGCTTGGATCTCCATCTGTATAACAGATCTGTCCCTCTGACTGCAATACTTCAAATGGGGCCACTAATCCCACTTTGTAAGATAAGTTTTAAAACAATTAATGGGGGAAAATGGTTTTGCTTAATCTAAATAAAATGTTTACATGGTTTCTCCACCATACTGGAGATCTGCTCAGCTTATGTTCCTTGCATTCAAGCAATGGTCTTACAGTCAGCTGAACTTCAAAATCATTAAGCAAGTTCTGATGCAATCTTTGCAGTTTGGTTTGCTTTCATGAAAAGTTGACATGAGGTGCAATTCGCCACTGACTTTCACTTCAAGAAACCCCACTGAGGTCAGTGGAGTTTCATAGGGTATTCGGCAAAGCAGAATTTGCCCTATAAAGTCTTCCTACTTATAGGCTTAAGGTCCTAATCCAGCACCCAGGGAAGACCGTGAAAAGACTCCCATTGATTTCAGAGGGAACTGGATTGGATCCCAAAGCTCTGATTCAGTTTAACTCCTGCACTAGGTTTCCAAGAAGGTTCACAGATTCACTTCTCAGCAACACACTGCAGGATCAGGGCCTAAGAAATTAAACTAGCATAAAAGCACTTTGTTAAACAGGAAGCAGAACGCTTATAAATCGGTATTTTTTGTAACTTTTGTTTTGTATTTGCAGATAGAATAGTTGTGGTTGTCCAGAATGCAGGATTTTAGATTTTTTTATTATAGAAAGTATACATCAAAGCTGTCAAATGTCGTTGACAATACGTGTAGTCTATCACAGATACAATAATTCCTATATTTTCTGTGAGTTTTTTTATGGATCACTTTATTAAGCAACACCAAAAATACCTAGTAAATGCACACCTTGCTAATGCATATATTAGTATGAAGATCATTTATTCT